AGATGTGTATAAGAGACAGTATATATACTGTATATACATTATATATACACACATAAATAGATATATACTTGATAAAGTGAAGTTATATTGTACATGTACAGTGATAATAAAATTTTAATAAGAGAAGAAAAAGCAGTTAGATAAATAAATGCATGGATGGATTTTAATTCGGTGTGAACACCCAGGATAACACATGAAAGTCCGAGTGGGAAGATTCCAGTGGGGTTCTTCTGGTGGTAATTGGACAGTGCACAGGGAAGCAACCCCCTACTTTTCAAAAGGGTGTACTGTGTTCTTTAACATACACATGGGCCATTTTGCACATGGGACCAACAGGTTAAATGTCTCATCTGAAAGACGATATGCTTTTGTAACTTCTGAAACACAAGGAAAGGCAGCGATGGGAATTTAACTGGGGACCAAGAGATCGCCACGGTTCAGTGCACACACAGTGGCTTCCACCAGATTAGCCGACTGAGCTAAGCTGCTCTCACTGTTATAGAGTACAGTAATAGAAACCTACAGTATGTTAATGTAAACATTTCTTATGAAAGCAGTTGATTTAAATTTTTTTTTTTTTCACATTTAACATTTAATCAGTTTAGAAACTAGACAACAGGTAAAGATGCCTACATGAAAAACAACTGTAAAGTTTCAAAGACGGATTATTATGACAACATCCAGAATGATGATTGCAAGTCAACATTTAAGGTTTATTTAGTACAAGCAGAGCAACGACTATGTCAGTGGTTTATCCCATTGTTGTGTTCAAGTTCTTTGTTGTCGTATCTTGTATTTACCATTTGACAACTACTGTACACTATTAAGCTACTCATGTTGACTTTGTATTAAAGCTGCTGTCAGAGTTATTTATAGTGCAAGCAAAGGTCAAACAATGTCATGATTGTTTATTAATTTGCTGACAAAGAAAAGCATAGGCTTATAATTATGAGTACTGCATACTGCAGAAACTAGGTCAAAATTAATCTAAAACATAGTCCATTATCAGATAAAGTGCTATCAGCCATTTGTCAAAACTAGGACCAATTACCAACTTTCTGGTGTATGTGTGCTCAACAAGATGGCCACCATAGGAAAGCGCCTCCTTTAGGCTTATTATACAATATTATAACGTAGATAAAAAGATAAACATTTGAGTAACTATTATTTCATTAATCATTATTTTAATTAATTTTTGAAATAGCATACAGTAGCCAACAGAGGCCAAGTGGAGTATCTGATATTAAAGAATGAAAACCGAAGTCATATTCGCTATAACGCACCACCACAACGCTTGAGTTTTATTTTTGTACCCAAAACTTTTTTTCAAGGTTAAATTAAGGGCGCCTAGTTAAAAACGATGCTTAGACATATTTTGATTGGCTGGACTATGGCAGCCATTTTGTTCAATACACACACACAGCTCTGCGTATCGAACACCGAATGCGTTGGCGTTAGCGCTCTAGTATTCTTATTATAACTATGTGATATTAAACCAATCACAGATTCTAAATGTTTTTATTTATAGGAGCTGGCGAAAGTGGGAAAAGTACGTTGGTGAAGCAAATGAAAATTATACACCATGATGGCTTCACAGACTATGAACTACAGAGTTTTAAGGTAAACACAACCACAATTTATATTTCACTGTTTTAACAAGAATGAAATACCTGTACTCTTTTTGCCATCCTATGGGGAAATACATACTAGCTTTCAAAAATATTTTGAAATTAGAATGTATAATACATACTCCATGATTCCTGAGGATGACACAATTAATGTTGAAATATTGAATCCCTAGAGAATGGCATGCATTTCAATATTTAGAGTATGTATTTCTTCCTTATCTGAGTTAATCAGTGGAACTTTTTGGATTTTTGAAATTTTTAGTCATTAAGAAAAGTATTATATAAAGCCTCCTGTTACTTGTTGTTACTTGTTGTTTGTAATGTATAGCGCTTTTACTTGCAGTTATGAAGCGCTGTAAGTTTTTGCCTGGTCATTGGTCCAAGCCCTTATAAAAGAAAAATACAAAACAAAGTGCAAGTAACAAAGCACTTCTTTGAAGAAAGAAAAAATAATATAAAAATAAATAAAAAGAAAAATAAATATAATAAGCTAAATTAGTCATGCTTTGTTTCTGATTTTAACAAATTAATAAACTTATCTACAGCAAAATTTTAAACCAATTTAGGTCGACAGGGTACACATACGCTATACTGCAAAACTTTTTTAACATTAATCATAACAAATTGTTCGTCTTCAGTAGCTCTCATATACTGTAGTACAGCAGTACACAGGACATTCCTCCTGTAAATTAAGAACAGCTGAACTGTAGAGTTTGTATTTAATTTTCTGTCGGGGATTCAATTTACCCCCCAGCATGTAGCATGGTATTCAATGTTGTGTGTTTGTAAAACAAAGCTCAAATAGAAGCAGCACTATATACTTTACCTTTCAAGGTTTTTGATCTTTGGAATTAATATATTTTTTTTTTTTTTTTTAAATAAATTTTAGTTATACTATTTGCTTGATGTGTTTTATTAGTAACCGTATATCTGGTGAAGAAAACACTTAATATAATGTACTGTATTTATCTGTATCAAGCATCACAATAACTACTATACTGTATGTATGTGATCTAAGACCTTTCCAGATTGTCAAATATTATTTCACTAAAAAAATGTTGTTTGCCCATATACCTATAGTCATGATACCTAAAAAAAAAAAAAATGTGTGGGACTGTCCTATACTGTCCCAATAGCTGGCTACGGCATTGTTCATATGGTGATGATATGATATCAATAAAACACAAGGATAGCAGTGATGGGAATTGAACCGGGAACCTAGAGATTTCCACAGTTCAGCGCACACACAGTGGCTACCACAAGTTTAGCCGACTGATCTCTCTAAGCAACATATATAATTTTATAATGTATTTTTATGATAATTGTAGCTAGCCAAGCCTTTACAGAATAAAAGAAATGTAACAGTTTATCATCAATACTGTCAATATAAATAATATTACCTTGCAAACAACTCCATTATTGGGTTATTTACTTATTTCATACTGTAAACAAAATGGCTGATGATGTACAAGACATCTGTGTGTTACCGCACATCCAGCAGCTTTATGCAAACACCATAATGAAATTCACAATTACAATTACCAAACCAACAGACCACTGTTAGTGTGGCTTTAAATGGCTTCAGACGGTTTTTGTGGATGGGCTATAGAATTGCAAGACCAATAAAATTTCTAAATAAAGAAGTGATGACAGCTACTTGTTCTGTTCTTAAACACATGAACATTTTTATAATAATAATAATAATAGATGGATTTATATAGCCCAAATAAACAAGGTCTCTATGGACTTGAAAATGCTGTAGGTAAGAAGTCAACGAAAAAAGGAAAATGATGAAGCGAAAAAAAAAAACAATAAACACAAAGCTATCACCCAAACCAAAGTATGGGGTTACACCGCCACCGCCAACCGGAGATCTGTGTTTATGTACTCCGGTTAGCATTGTTTAAGTCTGTCTTTTCTAGGAGGGGTCCCACTTGCCTTTATCAAACAAGACTAATTAGCGAGGTGAAAAAAAGTGTAACTGGTACTTGCTCATCTTTGGAATCCAATTCAAAATAATAGTTTACATTCCTTTGCATCAACCATTTGGTTTCCCCTTCCCCCCATTTGAAAATTTCTGGATTAACAAATTTCTCACAGAATTATTATTGGCTATTATTTTCAATTTCTTTTGTGATCATGTATAATAACAATTCGCATATTCTTGAAGTCTGAAGGTCATAATCATACAGTAGTACACAGTATGGATCTGGGATCCCTTTGCACCCAATTGTATCCAACCATGTGAAATACACATAGACTTCAACAATGACATTCTCAAGTTTTGTATCTATTGTCATTTGTTCATACAATAGTTTATGTCCAACAAAGTTGAATTTGAGTTGTGTACACTTTGTTTATTCTACATTTGTGAGTCTCAAAATCTGTTATTGTTAAGTTTGACTTTGTTCTGATTTTGAGATGGGAAAAATAGTTGTATTAGACAAGGAGTGTTGTGTTGTCGTAAATGCACTCCTGCAAGAATCATTCACACCAACTCTACTGATGTATTGTGTCACAAGTAGAGGTATTTACAAGACTGGTTCAAATATGCGAGTCACAAATAAGCACTGCATAAAAAGGCCTTAAAAAATTTCATAATTTCCAAAGACTCACAAACCATAACTGTAGAACCATTGATTGGAGTGTTAAAATTAGAAACACAGACTTTATTTGAAACCAGACTTTTTGTAAATTTCACTGGCTTGGTTAAGAAATGTCTGAGTTATGAAATATTAATGTAGTTTGATAGCATTGGTAGCCTTTAGCAGCAGCCAAGTGACAGGCTTTTAGTTGTCACTTTTTTTAAAGCCAAATTGATAGAGGATGACCCTTACAGTGTATCCTAGAAGGTTGGCTGATATTCAGGGGCCCTCTAAATGAAATGACATGATCAGTGAAGTCTCATTGGCTTAGGGAATGGATATGTGTTTAATCGTGAGAACAAATCTTATGCTGTGACATGATTTGAACCCAAGGCTTTGGGATTGGAAGGCCAGCACCTTAACCACAAGCTATTCAACTCTACTCAATGACTGTGTTGGCAACAGTAATAGTCATATAATAAATGAATTATAAATCAGTGGCAATTCATATTCGTGATCTCTGTTCAATGTGGAGGTGTGTAATTCATTTTCCAGTCACTTCTCGTATTTCTTTTCCAACAGTTTTCTTCTTTGCCCATGTGATTTTGTGTTACTGTATTAAATTGTTCAATGTTGGTGACTTGACATAGCTGGTTAATGTTTTGACCATTTTTCCCCCTTACTGGATAATGCTGAGGGCTAATGATTATGCTCTATGAGCACAATATATTACTATTTTAAGTTTGTGAAGTTTGTAATTTTCATTTACTGTAAATGTAAGAACAACATAAGATTATCCTAGTATTTCCAGTATTGTTATTTTTTTTTATAGCCTGCAGTATTAGACAACCTGTTAGGCTCCATGAAATACGTGCTTAATGGTATGTTTCTGCTGCGAATAAATCTAGCCAATCCCAGGAATAAGGTAAGTCAAAGCAAATTATAATCATACTGAAAAATAACTTATACTTATTGTCTACCATAAATCCTTGAAATATCTTCACTTCCTTAAAAGATGGTCATTTTTGTGAGTTTTTTTGCAGGTGCATGCCCAAGCAATTCTGCAGTGTCCGCGCTGTTTCGATGAGAACGTTGTTATGAAACCAAGAATAGAAAATGGACTCGTTGCACTATGGAACGATAAAGGTGTCCAACTTGCTGCCTCTCGAGGATATGAATATGAACTTAATGATTCCGCTGTCTAGTAAGCATAAGCTTGCATTTATGTAATTATAATTTCAATGAAAGGGATTCATATTTTACTGGCACTTTTCTCATGTGTAATCAAATTTCTCGTCTGTATGATTCAGTTGATTGAATATTACTCTATAATTTTCGATGCAAAAGTTTTCAATATAAATATTGGAATAAAATACTGTATGCAACTAATATACCTTCCAACATTGTTGGAGATGTGTATAAGAGACAGATATATATATATATAATATGCAACATTTACTATTTGGCATACAGTCATTTGTCAGTTGCCCTATTGCTTTTTAGACCCACTCTTTATATAATTATTCAAGACATGGTTTAAAATTTCAGTTTCTATTTTACCTCATGCTGCTTACCTTGTGCATTGTATGCCTTCCATAGTTTATTTATATTTCGAAAGATGATTCCTGATAACTTAAGCAGCTGTGAATGAGTTAAAGGGATCAAGCTCAACCGACAACTTCAACACCTATTTATTCCACATATGTTGTCAAATTTTTTTCCCACTATCAGTATAAAAGATTTTAATACAAAACCAAGGTTACAACAGGAAAAACAACTTTCTAGGCATAATTCAAATAATAGTATGTACTTAATTTTTCTTGAAGGCAAATAGAGGTAGACATAAAAGAATAGCAATGGATTAATATTTAAGACCACAAAGAGTTTGAGTCAATTTGATAAACATTACTTGAGGCAGTTGTTTGTTACTTGATTTTTTTTTGTCCTAATTTGAAGTTCGCTCATAATTTTATTTCTCCCTATTTGAATGTATTGATGTGGAGCAACCCTTTGCCCTCAAAAGGGTTTATGACTGAAAGCAACGTAGTGATAACTAATTGAGGCTATTGTGGCAGGTAGGATTAGCAGTATTATGGCACGGTTTGTACACCCACTGTACTGTGCATTCCTTAGGGCAATGTTTTAAATGGCGTCAACTAACCCGTTTTCATAGTAATTTGATTTACCTTCATTGTAAGGCGCTCTAGAGTGAAATAACATTTTCATATCCAGTTTCAATTAATTCACTATTTGAAGACTTCCAAGTTGATATTGAATAGGGTATGGAATATGATTGATATCAAATAGGTTGATGATTACTACAGTCAAGGAGGTATAAACTTCCTTGCTACAGTGGAACCCCTTTTAAGGGGACATACTCAGGGCCAAAAAATTGGGGTCCCAAAGCAGGGGTTAGCCGCATACAGGTAGTGTTAAAACATATACTTTCCCTTGTTTCGTGGCTAAAATTGTCCCCTTAAAATCGGTGTCCCCTTAATGTCCCAAAGGAGATTCTACTGTAGTTGTTGTTTTTGGCTGTACACTTAATGAGCTCAGGCTGAATGGACGTCCTTCACAACATATTTTTGAAATAAATAAATAAAAACTATAAGGCTACAGTACATACACTACATCATGTACTTGAACGTTGATGCACATATACAATATGTATGCCGTGTATGCATAAAAAGTAAGTCAATTTTGAAATAATGCAATAAACAAGGAAAGACAAAACTATTAATTGCCTACCTTTAGATCTAAGTTATAAAAACCTCATCACAGACCACTCTATATACAAAGGTTGCAATAACATAGTTGGCAGGTGTTGAAAACTCCTAACCGCTAATCTAAACTAATAAAATTCTATATCCTTCATTCTGTCACATAACAAGGTACACTTGACATTTATACGATGCACCCATCAGGAATTCGGTTTTTTTTAATTTTTCCTGATCATTTTTGTAAGCAACTTGCACAAGCATACAAATGTTGGACACACACAAAAAAAAGCATGAGTATAACAAAGAAGGTCTGTTGTAAATATATTTTTAAACCCATATTAATTAATGGTAATGCACATTCATTGAATGTAAAAAGGGTACAAGCCTTGAGGACTGTCCCCAATGTGTACTAGATCGGGCTACACCTTCATGGATACTCACTAGTTCTGGTGGGTGAAGTTACACACCTACAGTAGACGGAGAGAAGTCAGAGTTCACTGAAGTGGCTAGTAAATGAATTGAAAAGATAGAGAATTATTATAAATGAAATTAATGAATTATCAATACACATTTTGTATTCAGTAAATTTGCTCCTTACAAAATTTTTATTTTGAATAATTGAATGCTTTATCGGAATAAAATACTGTATGCAACTAATATACCTTCCAACATTGTTGGCGCCTGATGATATAGCACCCTCAATCTAGATATCACAAAATAGAGAGCCCTTTAAGTTATTTAAAAAAAAATGTACGGTAGTGGTACTAATTACAGTCATCGGTAGCTTGGTATAGCTTCGTTAAGAAATTTATTTGGCCTGTATTCACATTTTAATGACGAATTCACTAATTTTTATGAATTTTAGGTTGTAATGACCTATAAATGTCATCTTTTATAAAATTGTTATGAAATGTGAGATAATACAGTAATAGTACAACATAGGCGGGAGATGTAAGAAGTGGATGCTCATGCGTGAGGCTTGCGCATTATGTGTGAGAGTTGGCAGGTGTAGAATAATTGGGATTAGCTAACTCTAGTTGCTGAAATTTCAAAAGAACAAGCAAATTTAATCTTTTTTTTAGGTTTGATAGGTGAGCTTCTTGTACATTATTTCTAGAAGACAGTTAATTTTATGGTGATAAAACCATATAAAACTAAAGTATATTTAAGACTGTTTCATCCCGCTTTGTCCATTACTTAATAAACTTTCCTTTCTATAAGCTTAGCATTAAAATCAATTGTAATTATCCATGGCATCTGAATGATAATTGTTAAATAGTTTGTGAGCTTGCCTGGAATAAAAGCCTTTATAGCATTAATCGGTGCATTAAGTCCATACTTGCATGCACTGCATAGTTTAAGCAGCAATGTTCATCCATTATTCAGTATGTTTTGAGTATGTATAGAGAAAGTAAGCCAGAAATGGAACCTCTTGAGTATAGCCCTTCAACAGGTTAAACCTTTATAGGAGATTTGGATCACATTCACAACACACAATTCCCTCCTGTCTTTATGTTTTCTTGAAGTGGATTAATACAGTGATTAAAGAGAATTTAGAAGCAGCCTCTTTACTTTAAGATTGTTATTTGTTGGGTTTGATTAATCATTCATTGGTTCCAAGAACTATCTAAATTAACTTCATATAGCAGCTTCATATAGAAGACACGACAATACTGATGTGCTTTTTAACAATTCAAAATTCAATCTCCTCAAAAAAAAGTATTGCTCTAAACTATGCAATTTTTATGTGATGATATTAACTCTCCACATTTTACACACTACTACTTAAATGGTTTTTTTTTTAGTATATGAGCATTGTCCAAAATTATGACAGAATAAAATGTGTATTCAATGAAACTTTATAGACATATATGGCTGACTATTATTTCTTACCAAATATATATATAAATATAATATATATTTTCTTATAAAAATTTGTTGAAATTTACATTTTAATGTCCTTCCATTTAATGTATTTTAAGCAGAAACTTTTGGAAATTTTTAAGGCTGTTTCATTCCAGATAATAAATCAGTGGCATAACAACAAGTCATGGGGCCTGCTGAAGAATATAAGCCCATGTAAATGCCAGGAAAGTGGGCAGAGGGGATGGTATTTAAGTGACCCCCCCCCCCCCCCTCCTCCCTAACCTAAAAACATTAGTACTAGGGCCGGGACTGTTCTCCCCAAGAGCTCTTAGATAAATAAATAAATAAATAAATTACTAGTTTCCTTAAAGATGATAAATGTTTTTCATCTGTATTTATTAATACAGATGTATTTATTAACAAAAGACATATATCAACTTAAAATAAAGTACTGTTAACTATTTATTGGTAGAAAATCGAACCATTACTTGTAAAGTATGTGCAATTTATAGAATATCAAATTATGAGAAAATTTTAATATTTATTGTAAAATAATTCAACTTCCAAAATTGTTAAAATAAAGACTAATATTTGAAAAAAACTTCTAATATTTACAGGAATCACTTATTTACTTATAAGAAAAAAAAAATCATTCCTGCTATTATTTCACATTCATTTTAAAAGTTAAGTTACCAGTCTTGAGCAGATATGATTTTAGTATTTGAAATGATATTTATTATAGTTTGTGTGATGTGTTATCCGTTCAGTATTTCAAACTTAGAAAATGCATACCAAGTACTTATATTTTAAGATTTACTTAATTTTTTTAACTTACAACATAATATTGGTGTAAATTTGAAATGATGCAATGTGACCATCATTTTGCCTTTTAGCATGTATCTGTGCTTCCTTGTTGCAATGCTCCTCAAAATGTTTAAAGTTCAAAATTAATTTATTCATAATGGTCAACATAGTGAAATTATATATAACACTGCACATTTACTATATCAATATCATTATAATATTAAAAATATACTCCCTAACAAAAATATTTGGAAAACCTAAAAAAATCAATTGAAATGATGAACACATCATTTAAAAAGATCAAATATCTTAACTTCCAAGTAGAAACAGATCAAAACAAATATTTTTGCTGACAGATATTTTACTATAAAAATTATTAAATTGTTTACCAGCCAATTTAAGAGTCTATGCAAAAGAATACAGCAAAAGTATTATTTAATGAACAGGGAAATTGTATTCTTATTCAGATGTTTAGTCGCAAGTCAGCATCAGTGAGCAAAACAAGAAAATATCCACATCATAAGCTTTCAAATGATGGGTCATTTACTGGAATCAACTTAATACCGCCAAAGCTATGAGTAAAAGTACTACAGCTTCTCTGTACTAAAGTACACAATACTTTCACATACTCAGTTTAACATTTAGCGACAGAACAGTGGTTGTTTTCATGGCAAGCCTCATATGTAACTCATAGCAAACAGTATATCTTCAATAAAAAGCATATTGATCCAGTAAATCCAAAATTATTGACTCCCAAAATGTACCATTTTCAGAATTGTTTCTGGCTTATAAATTTATGTTTGAAGTGTGTCCACTTGAGGTGTGTGTGCATTACTAACATATTTTGTTGTTAATCAATAGTTACTTTGCAAATAAAATTTGCAGTGATGTTTGGTTACTAATTTTACTTTATGCTGCAGATTTATAAGTTGTGTGAAATGCTGCTTAAGAATATTTAAAGTTCTAAAGCTCTGTCCAAACTATCACATCTATTTATTATATAAAAACATGTGACATGCCTAGATATGATCATGATGACATCACATCATGACCATATATAGGCACATCATGACTATATATGGGCACATCATGACTATATATGGGAATAGAAAAGTTTTTAGTCAAAGAAATTTGAAAGTCTGAACAGGGTTTTATGCTGCAGGTTTAGAAGTCGTATTTAATTGGTTTCCATACAATATCTACACACTATCGTTGACAGCTTTCGGTGATGCTGATTGGTCGGTCGAATCAGGAAGCCTTTCTGATTGGGTCTGGGACTGCTACGCAGTACGATTGCACTGAAAACACTGTAGCAACAGTGTAGCGATTTTATGGAAACCAGGCTTAATATTGAAAGTACTTATAGTGCTCTTCTCTATACAATTGAGAACATGCATTTTGACGGTTATAATTGTTCGAGCGCTTTTGAACTTTTGATTTTTTTTTTAGTTTTTTAAGTGGACCACCACCAATCAGCTCTGCTAAAGGGTCTTTTGCTTCAAATATTGTTGAAATACCTGTAATATACATTTTTTTAATCCATATATTTTGGCGCTGTGTAAGTTCCTTGATTGATCTTTGTTAAATAAAACTTGTGAAAATGTACTTAATGACAAAAGGTGAATATAGAGAATTCATTTGCAAAAGTAAAAGTATATCAGATATTTATCATATTTTTAGTAGTACTGTGTTTTATGGTAAGTTAGGCAACAATGTTTTTGAGAGTTAAAGTTATATTATAAGCAGTAGAATTTTAACAAGTACTAATTATTTGACATAAGTATATATAGAAATCAATGTAACTGCCCAATAAAATATACTATTGTCATTTATTTAAAACATTTACTATTATTGAAGTTACAGAATATAAATTTTCTATGGTTTGTGTTTTGTTGATATTTAAAATTTTTTTGTTTTACATAACATTACTTAATTCAAGCATTTTGTTAAACTTGGTTATAATCTTTGAATAAGAGACTCAGTCAAGTAGTCTCTCATGTTAGTTGAGTAGTCGGGAGGTATGGGCAACGGCACGTTAGTGAAGTCTTTTTAGGGGTTGTTCTCATTATCAGCATTTTCGCAAGTGTACAAACTGTACTCTTTTTCAGTAACTACTCTTTTTCAGTAACTCCTCCCTCCCCTCTGAAAGTGTACGTAAAAAAATGTTGATTTTACAAACTATTCTCCATCTTTTTGTGAAGTCAACTAAATTACTGTACTTGGTTACATAAAAATGTATATTATATCGATGGTTGCATTATAATTGGTCATTAAAATATATTATTTTAAATATTGCATATTATTATGAATTAACAAATTCATGCATATGTAAATGTGTACAAATTTGACTACCCCCTCCCCCTACCGTACTGTTTGTACACTTTTGAAAATGTTGATTAATTGTGAACGAACCCTTAGATAAGGCCCAGTGTAAACAACTTGTGTGCCTTTTAAAGAAACCTGATCCACTTCCAAGATGAGGAAGGTTTACCCCTTCTCTGTTTTGCCACCAGAAAGACAGCTCACAGGAAATAGGTTTTTGAACTTTATTGTATTACTCTTAGTATGTTACAAATTATAATTAACTACCAACGGGCCTTTCCGTAGTGTCAATAATACTTAACAACTGACCAGAAATATGCTTGTGTCAAGCACGTTTTTGCGTGTTTTATAACTTGTCGTTTTGTGGGACCTTGGCGCCAATATTCAAGGGAAAGGGCTTACTTGGTTGTAAAAGTTTAGTTACTAGTTAAATACAATCAATCATTTACAAAATGATTTCTGCATGAACTATCTCCCAACTTCATCCAGGCCATTAACATTCATCTCTTTTCATAACCTGTTACAATTTAATTGAAACTATCATTATGTATGTATTGTTTATATTTTATTTGTTCTAGGAACATTTTCCTTTGTTGTCTGCCATCTATTTGAGAAAAATAAAATTACGAATTATGAATTATCTAAGATCCTTGTAGTCTGTTATTTAATGTCATTGATTTTACATAATATGTAAATCTGGTGGAAATACAGTAATTGATTTGAATATATTTGATTTTTGAAGAAGGTATTTTTTGCATTTTCAATAGTTTAATGGTCTTTACTTAGATTAAATCTTGTATGCTTCACAAAAACTATTCAGTATAGCTAAATTCATGACACTTGAACTACCAAAACATACCCCATAAATAAGCCGCCTCCCTGCATGAAAAACATTTTGAGGATTTTTGTAGTAAGATGCTTTTAGCGAAACTTGATCATTTTGAAAAATTCTACTTTTTAATTTTTAAATTGAATGAGGTTTTTATTTTTTCATATTTCACCAAACTTTCCAATACATTTTAATGACCAATATTGTTTATGCTGCTTATTTGGTATATTAGCTTAAATCAGACATGTATTTAACTGAGTTGAGTAAAAACTCACACAATAATAATTGTTTGCCAATGCAAAACTTAATCTAACCTATTGAGAAAAACCATACCATTGTCACTAAATGAATTTATAAGCGAAATCAGTTGGATTGTGAGGAAATTTATTGAAGTTCAAAATACTAACAAAGTTAATGAAACAGATATTTGGAAGAATTGGAAGCTACAAAAAAATTTGAAAGTTATATAATACTAAATCAATCTAAAAGTCAAGGTCTATAGGTAAATACAATTCTCTCCAAGTCCTGGAAATCACTTCTAACTTAAGCCACACACACACTGCGTACAATAGTCGCCGACCAACGCGATTCCATGGAGAATGCAAGATGACGATTTGTTCAGAGTGCACCTAGGGCATCGCAGGGAGCGGAGTTGGATTCATTGTACAATGCAGTGAGTACCCGGTTTAAAGCGTGAAGAAATATCTCCATTACAAGACAGAAGTAATTGATACCAATAATATGTACAGTACTTCCATATCACAGAACACAATGTGAAAATATAAATTTTAAAATCGAAAAAATAAGTATTTGGTTTGGTCACAATTGTTTTTATAATACTACATATTTGAAGTGTACAATACATTTGAAAATGTGTTTCATATACCTAAAAAGACTGAGTATAATAACCATTGTTAATTACAATGTGTAAACCCTTAGTCTTCACCTCATTGTCATATCAATATGAAATTTGCTGGCCTAAAAATGAATTCAAAATATTTAAGTCTTTATTTGGGTGTCGGACACCAGCAGACACCCCTATATACGCCACTGTTAGACATAGAACACATCCTGCTAATGCCAATTCTTAATGCCATGTCTGTTTTTAATAATTTACACAACAGCACAAAACTTGCACTTTGGTAGGGCTAATGTAACATTTACGAAAAAGACAAAACTGTTATCTACAAAACGACAAAGACTATGTCATTGTGCAGTCTTACATGGTTAAGGTCCACAGGGGCAGATCCTGATTTTTTCAAATTGGGGGGGGGGGCACACAACATATTCAAAACAGATAAGTGAGTAGTACTAATTTTAAAAAATAAATGGGATCCGCCCCTGGTCCAAGTGCATTCACATTGAATCTGAATTTTCGGAAACTTGCCAAATGGAGCAGAAAACCGAAACGGTGTGTTAGTATAGGGATGCTAGCGTTCATGGTTCAGAAACATGGTCCAAATTTTGATTCAGATCGGATGTGAATGCAGCTTTTGCTAATTTTTGACTCTGTATATCAATATTGTTGCATCATTTAATGATAGAAAATTAAGATGCTACAATACTACAATCAACTCCATATATCATAAAAGTTGTGTGAACACATTCCAATAACATTACAGTATATTGTACACATGTAAGGAGCACTTGGCTTATTATAGACACTTACACAAAGGCATTATGAGGGGTGGTGGGTTCATGAAGAGTACAATACTGCAAAAGGTCAAAAAATCATCAGGATTTGCACTAAGTACTGTATAATACTGTATTATGAAAGTCACTCTAAAAATTGACAAGGCCATTTTAAGCATCAATACTATCTCAAATGTACTAACATGAACTAGAGGGTGTCCTTATCGAACACGTGCTGTTTCTATATAGAACGCATGTTCCAGTTTTGAAATCTATTTAAATTCCAACATGGCGCCCCCTACATCATGGTAGTACTTTTTTAACGTTTCAATACGTCTGCATACAAAATCAGGGCAGTCGGACCTTTTGCAATTTCATACTCTTTGGTTCATGCAACAACACTACAAATATCACAACTCGTGTATATACTTGGCAAGAAAGAGACCATCATGGTAGCATTTATGACTGCTTTTAATATCTAAGTAGTTTTATACTTATTAGTTGCTTGATAACATCAAGGAAGGTTAAATGGTTACAAAATAACAATACAGTTGAATACTTCAATATTAGTATGAGATTAGTTGGAGCACTGATATGTAAAATTCCATAAATAACAATTCAACAATAAATTCAATAATTATTCTCTTTCACATTAATAGCAATAAATAATCAATGATGATAGAAATTTACAAAATAATTTTGCAAATACCCACAAATGTGGTGTAATGAATATTTAATAATTTTACTAGCAGTATTTAAATTGCATGCATCAACATAGAAATTAAAAATCTATAAAAGTAACAAAAATCAAACTAATGTTCCAGTTTTACTGTACTTAATGAAACATGCACTTTTAAAAGCCACCTTTGTTAATGCCATCGGTCACTTCATACACACAACAGAAAAACATATAAATCTTCAGTATGCTCTTGTAGCCAAATATACAACAAAGCACAGAAACTAAAGCATAACAAATCTCCATATGCTATTGTTGTTACCATGAGAGGTGCTGCCCTATTAAGCAATATCCATGTAGGATAAATTTTGGTCAAACTACGCTTTTTCCTGCTCAACTTTTACCAAATTTATTCTGGTGCGAACAACCAGTGTAACATTATCCTTATACCACAAGGCATGCAACAATGTTGGTTATTAATAAAAGCAGAAACTTCATCTAAAGACAAATGAATTTTCCTTAAATTCACAGCCAAAAACAAATAAAATTTAAATTCAATCCTCTGGATTGTAAACATTTAGCAGTAGTTGTTTAAAAAAAAAAATATATCCATTGAGATATAAATTATTATATATCACATTTTTCATTAAAAACTATAAAACATGTGTCATCTAGAAATGTGGCATAGTGCAGTCGGATAAAACTGGTGCACGGCTAGGCCTAGGCTAGCTAGGTTCCCCCAGGGCTAGGTGGGTGGTAACCCTGTAGGTCTTGGTGTCCTTGGGTCTTTTCCATTAAAGGGATCTTTGTAAAATGCTGGTTAACTATGAAGGCTTCTTTCAGAATTTAATTCACAGGGGGTTCTGTATACTACATGGGTGATGAACACATCAAATTATTCAGGAACAGAACAGGGGATTGTCTCTCAGTGTAAGCCCAATCTTATTGCAGTTGACATGCCTGTACAGGGGCCCAGCCCAATTTTACTTAGGATAAGTAAACATGGATTTCAGATTATGATTATCATCAATGAAGAGTTTAAAACCTTGCAACAGTGCAACATATAGCTAGCTACAGTATGGTCATTCTATACATAATCCTCATTAACTCTAGTAGTGTATTCCTACCTAAACAAAATTTTAAAACAATATTAGTCTCTTTTAAGCCGGTTTTCCACAAAGCAAATTTTTTCGTGCAAATCAAAAGCGTTGGTTCATGTGCATGCACAATCACATTTCTATCAGTTTTTTTGCTTCAGCGAAATCAGTTGTTTGAATTGTTTCCACTTTTTGCGAAGAAAAAAAATGCGCCACCAATCATAGCTCAGGAAGTGAACGGACTCTTTCGATTCACGTGAATGAATTCGCTTAGTGGAAAACCGGCTTTACGCCATGTTCATATAAACAACATTGATAACAAGGTCAATACGATAATCAATATAAGATAAATTGAAATAAATCAACTGTGATTAAGATATGTGCAATTACAATAATTTAGCAATATTATGGCTTAATACGCATAAATAATTCCAGTAACACTACTTGCCACTATCTATGTACATGTGTCCATTTGTTATTAAACATTTATTAATTTGTACACTCTTGTTCCTAGCTTGTATGGTATATCTCAATTACTGTTCAACTTATTAAATTTATGATATTTTTAGATTTTTGTCATCAATGCATAAGTATGTGACCAAACAAAGCGTTGTCCAGACTATCAAATTTTCTTTGACAAAAAAAAACTATTGTACGCCCATATGCAGTCATGATGTGCCTATATATGGTCATGATGTGATGTCATCATGACCATATTTAGGCAGACTTAATAAATTATGGTTGCCAGTTACTTGATACCTCATCAAGAACGCATTAATAGGAAGGCGCTTGATACGTTGAAGGGGATATATCATCATCTTTGGTTTGGTTGAAAGGGGCATCCTGGTAGGAATCTTGGGTTGGTGCTTCTGGAGGTCCAGGGTAAGACGAATATGGTGTGCTAGAGGGAGGAATTCCTGTATCATGGCTGGGAGCAAAGGCGGATTCTGCCCCTTGTCTATACCTCAAGAATGCCAATACTGCCAAGCAGCCCTACAAAAAAAAAAAATAATAGCAACACACAAGACCAAATAAAATCAATTACCAGTTTCACGTCCTCCCCTCATATTTTGGAACCTCTTTCAAAACATTTAGTATTTGCTATTTAAAAAAAAAAAAAAAAAATTTGCCATGGAAAATAAAAATCTGAATAGTACATAAAAAAGGGGGTTAGTTTTGTCTCTTGGTCAGTCCTCCTTTCGGACATTTCTTAAACAGCCCCTGAGTACCCATGGTTTCTCTATACCAAGAAGTGGATTTTGTCATACACGTCTGGCAGAAACAAAACCATCTTACTGTACAACGTTAAGTTAGGTGGGCCTACACACAGTGTATAGTCCTTATTAGAGAATAGTTATAATAAACCAAAGGTGCTGTCTCTTATACGCATCTAGATGTGTATAAGAGCCAGGGCCCATGTGTACTGTTGATGTATCACAGGTTAATCATCACACCACCGTTTTTGAGGTTGATAAGTGGGAGGGCCCAAAAATGATTATGCGCAAGTCCCCAACTATGACAATTTAAGTGGCAGGCGTAACGCAGGAGCACTACTAATACAGTCTTACAGTAATATTGGTCTTGATTCGAAGCGCTCCTTGTTCAGTATTCAGTTGGTAGAACCAGGGCTTCTTGGATAAAGACTTAAATGGAGATGTACACATCTGGTGAATTGCTTGAATTTTAAAGAACCCATTGCATTTTTTGGAAGAGTAGGGTGTTACACCAACGATAGTGGTTCATTTCAGCCTCTTTCATTGTGGAATGATGTGAACATGTAGCTACTACGTGTATAAGAGCCTCTTATAGACGATAGGTAGTCACAGACAACGCCCATACACAATTCAGTGAAATGATGCTGCAAGTTATAGGTTCCTACCTACCTGAACCTACATTTATTACCATTACTGGTGACATTTTGGTGAAAATATCTCACCTGAAAAGCACAAGTCTGCTATCACAGCATATTTCCTATTCATTACATTGCTCAAGTTATCAAACACGGCATCAATGACGAGAAAAATTCCACAAGCCAAGAAAGCCATGATGCCGACAAACATTCCGTAGCCGCAGGCACCGTGATTGTTGTTGTACATGCATTGCTTCTCGCTGCTTGTGTGGTCTATGGCCTGATAACCCTCAGCAGATATACACCCAAATACAATTATTGAAAACACCTGTAAGAAAGTAAGAAGGTAGGTAGGTACCGGCTAGAATATCGTCAAGGAATTATTAAATTACAAAGACCCCTTTCATAGCTTACATTGGCATACTTGAAACTCTAGTGGGCACCCTTCACTGGTAGGCAAAATGTTTGCGATGCATACAGTAGTAAAAATACATCAGGAAATGAGGATACTGGTAATTTTTGTTTCCTTGTGCGAACACTACGTAAGCTACATGGATGATTTCTAGATATGACAAGGTAATAATATTAGGAATTGTTGAAAAATCAACAAAATTTAAAAAGTATATATTTTTATTTTTTTAGCAAATTATTGAAATCAAGGTGGGAAACTATGAAAAACATCGCAATCTCAATAGTGAGAAACATGCTATTGTTTTATTGTGCAAAAAATATGTAAAATGAAATTCAGACATATCATGTCATGGTTACGCCTACTGTGTAGCCTCAATTGAGGAATCAATAAGACATTTATCCAAAAAATATAATTTAGGGCCTAGGGCCTAGGAGGCCTATGCTTTTTAAGACTTTAAAAGAAATACCGATTTGCACAGCACCCTTCTTCTTTCTCTTCTCTTTGATAGGCCTAGGCTTGCTGCACCATCTTCAGCCTTTATCCTAGTAGGCCCTTAATTATGTACCATGGGTTATGTTGGCCTTAGCCTAGGCCTAGCCCTAATATAATATGCCTTGATGTGAGCAAGGCAAGGGTTGAGTGTGCGAGTGTTTTAAACTTGTTAGAGTAATAAACACTCGTTCAGACAGCCAGGGCTTAGAATTTGAAATGATATAAAAATTAATACCGTGTCCATTTTACTGATGTTAAAAAGCTTACCCAACTTATCAACCTGAGAATTACTTGTGGTTTTTTAATATACTCAATTGGATCGAACGGTTTTCCTGCTTTTCTACCTCCATACGCTCCGCCTTCTTGACCCTCCATTTTGAGTTCTCTCTCCTTTTATCGAAATTAGTAGTCGTTGATATAGGCGTGGCCTAGCCTATACTCTATCCAACCGACTGGACATTGTCGTCGCTGTCGACACGGTGACCGTGTTCAGTTTCAATAATAATAATTAATAATAATAATAATGATAATTATTAATAATAATAATTTAATAATAATAATAATCATAATAATAATAAAAATAACAATAATAATGTTACACGTGTATAGTGCATAATGCAAGAAAAAGCTTCTATGCACTCCATCATAAAAATAATAAACACAAATTTAAATTTAAATATAAAAAAAAATGATAATAATAATAAAATAAATGTATACTACTGATTTATTTTTTAAAAATAATTAGAATGTATATAATTTTTTGATAAATCTATTAAAATTGCACTATAATTTTTTTTTTTGACCTGGAGATCCCTTGATAGTGTTCCACACTCAATCGATTCATTTTTTTATTCAGTCTATTATACATAAATATAACAGAAATGTGCTTTGAAGCTAAGCGATCAAACATAAATAGTTAAGAACACATTTGATTACTTGGACAGGGTTTTTTTTTAAATGAGTTTCCCTTTCTATCTTTTCATTTTGTGCCTGTATTTTGAGCATACCTTTTGTTGGAGGTTACCAAATAAAAAGTGAATTGAATAGTATCTTTATTCTAGTTGTAATATACAATATTGAAATATTTTTGGGCCATTAAAAGCAAAAAAAAAAAAACCGCCTCTAAACGCACCAGTGATTTTTATTCTGGGACCCTGACAGGCTCTAGTCAGCGCCCTGTCCCCCTGCCCCTAGTCAAATGACTCGCAGTGTACGTAAATATTTCAGTTTGGTCTGCCAAAACCATGGTCTTTATAAAAAGACCACTCGCGAGCCCCTTAAAATATGTTGGGCGTTTGGGTAAGTCTTTGTAATTGGAGTGGCAGCGATAATATAGCCACAAAAAAGCTGTCTTTTGTGGTCTTTAATTAGAGGGGTTAAAATTAGAGGGAGACCTTTTGCTATTTATTTACTAGGCCTAATTACAGGTAAACATGCTGATAAGTAGAAAGTGTTGTTACTGTTAAAGATAATGAATCTTTGTTGTAGCAGGCCCTACTTATGTATTTCTAGTAAGTTATGTTTCCATCTCATCAACCTTTTAATTAGATAGTCATTATTTTGATTTTTCATGAACAATATTATATTTTTTGACCCCGAAACTACTGTATACCATTTTATTTGTTGGTTGTTGATGTCAATTCTATTTCTGGCAAACTATGACGTAAGTCTGTTAACTCTTTGATTGTCAGGAGTTGTGCAACGTGTGGTGTGGCTCGATAAATACCGAAGTGCATTTGAAACTCTTTGTCTGTTTAGAATCATTTTAATTCATTCAAAAAGTTGTAATCTGAGAATACTTTACAATGTCCAAAACTACTGATAGTATATCGTCAACGTGTGTCCTCTGCTGTCAAGACGCAAAGCTGTTTGCCATAGGCCCTTGTGATCATCCGATTTGCACCAAATGTTCGACACGAATGAGGGTTCTCTGCGAGCAAAAGTACTGCTCCGTTTGTCGAAACGAAATGGGGACGGTATGTTCAGCTGCTATGTGTAGGACCTAGCTAGAAATTTAAGGCCTGCCTAGGTGGCTATTCAATCAAATTCATTCAGATTACTTGTAACTAATGATCTAATCGTGTATAATATATATTACCAGGTAGAATTTAGCTTTAACAAAAACATTTTCAATAAATCAGTAGAGTGTGGGGTGTTTAATAAATTTAATAAAATAATATAATTCAATATGCAACATACAAAAAATACAAGTACTGTAGTAGTTGCACAATAATTAATTGTGGTCTCATGATTTTAATTCTGATTTAGTGATGCAGTATACACTGTAGAACGACGTTTCGCCAATTCAGACAGAGCCCAATTTTGGGCCGCAAACCATATGGAAGGCTCAGGCAGTCTTTCTCATGAGGTTACCGATGAGTGAGAGGAACATGTTTTTTTTAAAAACAGCTTCATTGATATAATAGTAAATACGCAGTTTTAATACTAAATGTTGTCAGTAATAGAATAGATAGTGACATGTTTAATAAAAACATAGGAAATTTAAATATCAACTTCTTGCCAGGCTTTGTTAGATCAGTTCCTGGCACGGCTGGGCCGAGGCTTGGTGCTTAGAATACAGTAGAACCCCTATTAAGGGGACACCTTCTGGACCAAAAAAAGTGTCGCCTTAATAGGGGTGTTCCCTAAAAATAAATGCAAAATTGTTCCCTATAATAGGGGTTTTTGGCATGTTTTCATACAATGATGACATAAATTCTTTATAATTTTATTTTTATCGACATAAGAATCAGCTAAGTAGAATTATAACTAATTTATAGCAACAATTTTCAATGTAAATACAATACATTTATTTGAAATCAGCACAAATGTGATTAAAACAACAATAGTTTTTTATTTATTTATTTAAAAAAAATAAACCTAAAGGTCAGGGTTTCAGTCCCTCGCTGTACTGTACATTTTGCTTATGTCCTTGAGCAAGGTACTTTATCTGCATTGCTTCTCCTGTATCACCTGTCTTATCGGGCTCGTAGGTAGACCATACAGGCCTGTATGGTACATGTTATGCCCTCCCAATTTCATCAAACCACCACTGTATGGGCTGTCTCTTATACACATCTCATCTCTGATTGGGGTGTATGATAGTTAGTACTATGAATGAGAGGGGCCTAGCCTGTAAATGACTTGAACTTAAAATTTTAAAATGACATATGCTTAAGGTTTACCTTTCAATTTTATCCCCTATTTTTTCATTCGCGTTTTTATATTCGAGCAGGCCTAATCCAGGGCATACGCTTGTCACCCTAACACTGGTTCCTACCGATGAGGGTCCAAGTACCGAAGGCCCCGATACAATACTGTGTACTGTAGTGATTCTGTTGTTTTAAGACTAATTTTAGCTATTACGTTCTAAGACCGTTATACAGGGGTGGCAGCGAGGGGCCGGGAGCCAGGGCGTCGGGGAGAGGTGGCTCCCTCCCCGTCAGGGAAAAAAAGCAAAATGCGTCGGGGAGAAAAAAATTATATGTATTTTTTACATATTAGTAGACTCTAAAATCGGTTTTTAGCCTTTTTAACCTTTTAGCAGACTTTTATTGTTTTTACAGTTTTGCTGTTTCCTCTGTGATTTTATCTTTTGTGTCTTGTTTTAACTTACATTTTAACTGTGAACAAACAAGAAGAATTTCAAACCATGTTCTCACTGTGTTTGACAATAAAACTTGAATTGAAATTGAAATTGAATTGAAATTGAAATGAATGACCAGGGTAAAAGAAGCGCTTTGTATCTACAAAGAAAAGGCGCTGTATAGATGATATAAATAATAAAATAATAATGATAAAATGTTCCCAATATTATTTCATGATGCAGTGTTAATGACCAAATATTCCTTTTATTTATATATGAGCTTTCTACTGAATTAATGTAGCATGAATAGAGTAACGACATAGAATTAATAGAGCCTGTTGTGGTATGTATTAGAATTTTATATAAAGTACACAAAAAAAAAGGAAATGACAATCACCATGGTTAAGGGTCGAAATTGACAAGATTGGTTTATATGAAGTAACACATGCAGTACAGTACTGTAGGCCTGTACCAACGTTTTCTCTAAGGATTCAGGGAAAAAAATTCTGGTTTATTGCTCAAAAGGTGTTAAAATATGAAGTTGAATGAATTTTTCTTACTTTGAGAACTGTAGTTGTTGTGATATAGTGATAACAAAATTAAGTGTCACCTTTTATAGGGGTTATTTGACCATTTGGCAAAAATTGTTGCTGTAAACCTCAGTGAATGCAGGACCTATTGTTGACGACATTCTTTGAGAATGGAATTTCCCATTTACTGTAACAACTGGGAAAACCCAATATGATTCACCTATGTTGATGCAGTACATTTGTTGTCTGAATAAACACTATTTTCCATCGAGTTTTAAAAACATTAATTTTTAATATTAACAAATGAATTACAATATTTGGGCTCTCCTAAAGTGATATAACCAGATAACCAGGTTGAAGTGGATTGCTGAGATTATCATAATATAAAAATGTGCAGCATTTCCTTAAGAACTTCGTAAGTTGACATCCATCTCTTTGTTTAAATCTCGTTTAAAAATGTGCTTATTTCGTTCTCTTTGATGTCCCCTTTTCCATTCCTTGCCAGCTAGCTTTTTTGTAGTTTATCAGGATAGGAGGTTCCTAAGTCCTGGGATGGCCGAGAGACAACTGGTACTGGACAGGGTACATTTTGATAGATCCCTGCAGAGCGACTTGGGCGTACCCCATACTGTGCTTTGGGTGCTGGCTTGGATTTTCTTTTTTATTTTCCACATCTGCCCAATTTGTTCTGCACATAGACTCTCGTATTTTGCACGATATAAATAAATAATCTTTAACCTTTAACTTTTGTAAAAGCTAATACATAAATTTAGTTTTGTTGTTTCATTTCATAGAAGTAACACTTAAAATGAATGTATTTATTTTTAAGATCTTAATATTTTCTAGACTTGCTTTCATTGCTTTCCTTTAGTTCAGTGACCAGATTGCAGACTTTTCAAGTTCAGTAACTATAACTTTCCGTAGCACCAATTTGCATTGAGTGCAAGATATTGTTTTCTCAAAATTGTTCAGTGGCGTATCTGGTGGCTGTGTGGGGAGGGGGTACCCATACTCGTGCCATAGTCACCCCCATTGTAAATGTTTGAATTGAAGCAAAAAAGTCATGCTCAAGTAGTTAAAATCAGCTTATTGTGCGAGCTAGCATCCCACCCTTTTACTTTGTCATAGATCCTCCACTTCACCTTTGTGTCCCCACAGCAGTGGCACCAGTAGGGGCAGGGGAATCTTCCCCGTCAGGGGAAAAAAAAAGAAAATTTAAAAAAATTAATAATTTGCCTATCCAAATAATGTTATATTAATTGCCAATCCCTAATATTGTGGTCTAAAAGCACATTTTGCATAATAGTAAGCTTTTTATAAATTACATGCCATCATTTATTCGAATTATTTATTTTTCTATATTGTAGGTGTTGTTTGTCAAGAAGGTGCACCCTTATGCAAGTATAATTAGCCATAAATTCCTGTCCAATAAAAAAGCTGGAATCCGTTTTGCTTCTGGGTGGATGAAGAGCGAGTTTGAAGACTACCTCAGTCATAAGTGTCCTAAATGCCCGAAGGATGTAAACCAGTTTAAATCACTCAAACTCCTGGAAGAACACATGCGGCGGAACCATGAACTTTTTTACTGTAACCTTTGCGTAGACAACGTCAAGGTGAGATTCAAATGCCCATATATGGTCATGATGTGCCTATATATGGTCATGATGTGATGTCATCATGACCATATTTAGGCATGTCACACGTTTTTGTCAAATAAATGATGATAGTATTTCCATTTTTGGACAATAAATAAAATCTTGAATCTTTAATATGCAGGCAACGACAGCTCAGTGAAAATATTATGTTTTTCTTTGGAAAGAAGGATGTTGATAACTTTTTATCCTTAAAAATTGAATGGAACATGTTAAAACTTTTTGGTTCCAAGAGGAACAGTTTACTTTGGATTGAAGTGTGTGTGTATTTTTGTGGATGTATGTGGATTAGTGGTATTATACTTTTAAAATTTAGGGGGTATTTTTTTGACCATTTGTCATGCTGTCCTGTTCTGTTTGTATCTCTATAGTATAATATTTTTATATCAATGCTTTCGTATCCTCACACCTCCCATCTACTACTGTTCTTTGTTTTTAGACCAAAAATAATTGTCCCATGTAAAATACAAAAAAGCAAAATCATTTTTGAAATTGACTTAAACATAGAATTAGTACTTATTTAAACATTGTTTAGAAACACTTCTAGTCATTCAAAGTGTTTTATTGTTTTTATCGTTATCCATTGTATTAAAGGGTACACATTTTAAAATTAAGTAAATTCTATGCTCAAGTTAATAAGTGCATGTCCTGCAAAATGAGCAAGGCTAAAATCTATTAAATAAGCCTTTGAAACTGTCTCTTATACACATCTAGATGTGTATAAGAGACAGATTCTAAAGCATCAGACATTGATTCTGATTCAACAAGAACTAGAATGCCACCAGGTTTTCCACTACAGGCAACTGATTCGATTCCTAAAAGATATCCACCAGGATTGTCACTGCCAACAACAATCCCACCTCCAGGATTTGATAAGGGATCAACTTTTAACCCACCCCCAAGATTCTCAGTTGCCTCTGTGTTTGTCGAGCCTAGTAACTTTAAACAAAGAAATATGGATCTAATTGATAAAATTCGAACACATTTAAACTACGACGTTGATGGATTCAATAAATTCAAAAGATTGTCAGGTCAGTTCCGTCAGGGGAACCTGTCTGGCAAGGACTACTATGAAAACTGCAGTGGGCTACTTGGTAAAGACAACTTCCAAAATATATTCCCAGATTTAGTCTCCCTTCTACCTGATACCGAAAAACAGCAAGAATTATTATTAGTAAATAATGACTATAAGATTCTTGCAAAAAATACAGGGGAAAAGGTGTTGTCAATCAAGAAGAAAGGGTCATCGGTATGGAGTGGTCAGGGACAGAATGAGAACACAATGTGCAATAGCTGTGGCCAAGTCTTGTTACAGAAGGATTTGAGTTCCCATATGGACATTTGTAGCAAAAACACTGACTTTCCATCCTTAGCTGCTGCATCTGCTTCCTCAGCACCTAGACAAACAGCTACTGCTTGGGGCCGTGTTAAATGATGTTATGTTATTATAACATTTACTGTATTTGTTTGAAACAATGTCATACGACGCAGCCCTCTATGATTTTTTGTCTTGTTGAGTCTGTGGCACAAACACAGACATGAAAGGTCTGTATTTGAGACACTTGTGTTATAGATTATTATACTAAAAATGTTTAATATAATAATTCTAAACCTAAAGACTATGCCCTGATGATCAGGCTAATTTGTACATTGCTGACTGAATTGTCATTTACACAATTGTACAGCAGGCCACTGTATGTTACAGCTGTTTACAAAGAATTAAACAGCAAATAAATAAGTTTGTTGAAATGTAAACCTTTTGCTTCTCATGATTGGCAGATTCGGATTTTTAACTGTTAAGGCCAACTCATAAAGCGTCAAAGCTGCCCGACGCAATTTATCGCAGAGGACAGTTGTTAGGTCATGAGAATATTAAACATGTTGAATATTGTACGACGCGACTAACCCAGACGCAGAGCCTTCTCGTACAGACCCGATGCAACAACAAATTTTGTTGAATTCAATTTTAATTCCACTTTTTATTTTCTTTTTTTCCAAAATTGTTAAGAATTCAGATCAGCAAAGACTGAGGCTCGTTCAAACTATCAGTTTTTGTTTAAATCTTTTTGTGTTTTGATATCGAAAAAAAATTGAGAAAAGTAGTCACCTCGTTGGATACTATTTAAGAACTTCTTCACTAGTATAATATAAAGCCAGGCATTCACAATGCATCTGACGTCCGTCAGCTGACGCGATTCTATGGATTCTAATTTAATTCGTGTGAAATCATTGGAAAAAACTACAGTATCTTATTGTTATACCCAGCATGCATTTTGTTAAGCTGTGAATGATGTCAATTAGTGTTGTTGATGTCAATGTATAAGAAACCACAAGAAGTTATTCAAACATTTATTAACAGAATAGATTGCAGGGGTGGCGCCAGCGGTGGGCATATATAGATAGCGGTGAGAGCTGGCCCCAGCCCCCCCCCCCCCCATGTTGGGGGGAAAAAGCACAATTCGTCGGGGGAGAGAAAAAAAATTATGTGTATTTTCTACATTATTAGTAGACTCTAAAATCTATTAAATAAGCCTTTGAAACATTTTCGCTAAGCCCCTGGACCACTTTTGAAACATTTTAATCGAAGCTCGACAACGCCCACTTTGAAATCTGACCCCTCGTCGGCTAACCCGTCGGGGACCTCGTCCCCACCGTCAGGCAAATCCTGGCGTTACCCCTAGTAGATTGTTTAGAATTTCAGAGAGGTAACATTAGTTACAACTTATTTGTGGAACCTGTTGAATAATGTACTTAATATATTATCAAGAGTATGTGTGATTTTATAATTCTTAAAAATAAAATCGGAAATTACAGGTAATTGCTTGGTTTTATTGTTTACATTTGTTTGTTGTGCAGTTATTAACCAAACAATATTTCAGTAACAAATTACCTCCCAATTTGTGTCTTTTAATTGATAATAGTTTAAAGAGTGTAGAGGGGAAAGAGAGCACAGTATGATTTTTTTCGTGCATAGACGAATGTTATCCCCTGATTACGATTGATCTGCTGCCATCTGAATGTTCCACGATTTTAACAAAATATATGACTGTTCTGTTCTCCACACAATAATTGCAAACACTTATGTTCAGTTAGAGGTTGCAGGGCAGGAACTTCTGCAGACTTCAATTTACAACATAACTTTTGTAGTTTCTACTAGTTGCTCTGGAAGTTTTGCCTAAGTACCGACATATGGAAATAGACAAAAATACTGTACTAAGGAAATTTATCATAGGCCGAGACAAATAAGTGAATAGGTCTAAAGTCCAGAACAAATAACCTTTTCATCAGGGTTCCCTAGACACACTAGATACGCCATTGGCCATACTAAGCTATAAAACACGTACCCATTACTCCTACTGGGGATTCTTATTCCCCGGCTCTAAACGACCCCTTGGTTTGTACCCCCTGCCGGACATGCGTAGACATGCATCAGCCGAATGTAGTACAATTGTTTATCAGTGTGATTAGTCTGCTCAATAAACAATTTTAATTACTTGTGCAAATATAAAGATGTGGGTAACCCACATCTTTATATACGACTTTCCATGGATCTCGACCTGCTATGTAGGCCCTCTTTAGGCTAGATGCGTCTAGACGGTTGGAAGCGACGGTTGAAGAAAAACGGAAGCAAGCCGAGGACTTCGCTAACTTCCATTCCTCAGTATTAAAATCCTTTCATTGATGGGCACTGTCTAAAACTTTCTTCCAGCTTATCTCTGAAAAGATTGTAACCTTTTCGTCTGCAGTTGGCTCAACATGAATTACACAGGAACCGTTGAGCTTCCATGATGGCCTAGGCTCGAACATGACACGTTGTTTTTTGTTGTTATTCGTGACGTCATCAACGAGTACAATACATTTATTATCCACAATTAAGTAAACTGCCTTAAAGAAAAAAAAATTGGTTCATGTGGGAATCCAACACACAACCTCCATGTTTGCTATTCATACCATCAACTAAACTGCCTTAAAAAAAAAAAATTTAAAAAAAACTGGCTCGTGTGGGAATCGAACCCACGACCTTAAAAAAAAATGTAAAAAAATATTTAAAAAAACTTGCCCCGTGTGGGAATCGAACCCACGATCGCTGAGTTTACTACTCCTGATCCAGCATGACTAGACGGAGGGAGGTAAACCGCGGCCCTAAGCCATAAATGCGATAAACCTAGTACCACACCAAGTACCAGTTAGTCAACTCTGGTCTTACTATAAAAAAATTCTTTGTATATATACACTGCAGGTTAATATTACGCTTGGTCATGGTGTCAAAAATGGGCCGTGGGCCAAGAGAGTTTATTTTTTTGTCTAAAAATGTACAATTAAATTTATAATCGATTTTTCATAGTTACCATTTCCATAACTTACGCACTTTTTTTTAAATAGACAAAAATATTTGAAAAATTCATTATGCAAATTAGAAAAAAAAAAAAAACTAATCATGTTACGGGAAACCTGGTGGTTGTGTGTTCAATTCCAACACGAACCATTTTTTTTTTTTTTTTTTTTTTTT